TTCAAAAGATTTATAAATCATAAATTATTTGATTAAAAATTATGTTTATAAATAAATTTTGAATAAGGATTTAACCTTAAATGTAAAGATTTGTTGTATGTAAATTAAAATCTTAGCAAACTTATTTAATTTTTTGTGAAACTATTATCTCTAATTTAGAATAGAAAACCAAATAATGAAGGCGATTTCCAAGGGAAACATCCTAGTTCATGTTCCGTATTCTCTTTCCACACAAATTTATCATTTTCACATTTGCATACTCTATGAACATTAGGTATGTCGCTTGGTTGGCATTTTGTTTTTGAATCAACGTGATCCCCGGTGCAAGGTATATCCTTCAGATCGATATCTTGAACACATGGATCATTGATATCGAGAGTGTCCAGGGTAAATAACGTTTTACCAAGGTTAATGTATGTAACGTGTAATCCGATTTTAAATAATTTAATAGTAGCATCGGTATTTTTAAATTTTTCAACCACAGGCTTATCAAATGAATGCTCATCCTTATGAAATAATTAAAATCTTTAAAACCGAATAAAATTAGTTTTTATATCATTAATACCCCTTTACGAAATTTGTCTCCATAGAGTTTGTCTGACGTATAAATGGCATTCATTTTCTCATCGAAAGCCACCACTCTAATGGTAAATCCACTTTTATCTGGAGATTTCAGACTAAATCGAATAACATTATCTGCGTCCGTTAGCTTGTTTATCCATTGACTCATTAACCAGGTCTGATGAGGTATATCTCCTTTAATTGCAGCTATAATAAAAAAAATTACAATTAGTAATAATTGTACTATCATTTCAGAATCATTTTTAAAAATTACTTTTAAATGTAATTTTATCTTTTGTTGAAAAATCCCAGTTTTCTCTTAAACCAAATATTATAGGCCATTGTTCAGGGTAAGTGCTTACACCTTGCACAAAATATGAATTTATCGGAATATTTTTAGTAGTAGATGTCACATTCACGACGTTTATAGCAACTTGCAAATCTGGGTCTTCCTTATCCAGAAAATCGGATTCGAATGTTATATCAAAATCTTTATCTCTTTTTTGTATTAAATCTGAAACACATATATCTTGCTTGCTCCATTTTGTATTATCAAATTGGGCGGTCAATTTGAATGCAACGTTTGAAGCATATTTTACATATAAATTGGATTGGTCATTTTTATAATAATTTAAAGTAAAACAAACATCTTCGCCATCTTTAGTATCTTTAAATGTGATTTTTGCTTTGTCTGGCACTTCATGAGGTGAATATAATGGGAATATTTCTGCAGGTACTGTATGATCTAATTGCAAACTGTGCCACCAATTTCGGGTGGCTAGTGTAAAAATTTCATTTATTATATGTATCACCACTGCATAATAATTTGGCATCTCTATATTTTCGTTTTTCTTCGCAACTAAAAAATAATAACCATAAATATAAATTTTATATTAATAATTTCCCAAATAGGCTTACGCACCTTTTGCCAGTTATGGTATTGAATTGAAGTCCTGGACACATACACGTGTATGTGGGTGTCCCGGTTTGCGACACCTCACAATATGTATCACCAAATGGTTTTGTTGGATTTATTGTTGGAATATTTGGATATGCTCCACATGATTTATCTCGATCCTTTATATATAAAAATTTAAATTTAATATGAACAAAATAATTAAATTAGATTTTTATACAAAATAAATTACCTTATCATCGCAAGCCTTTTTCTCGCATGTTGCACCAAAATAGGAAGCATCGCACGAACATTTAAATAGTTCTTTAGCTACACCTGTATGGCTACACTTACCGTGGCTAGAACATTTTGTTTTGTCTGAACAGGGATCATAGATGGATACAGAATTAATGTTAATTTTATATTCTTTATCATCCTTAGCTGTGTATGTGAACTTGAAAAACATTTTAAAATAATTCGGGGTGGCCGATGCAAATTCTATTTTAATTTCTAAAGGCGTTTCTTTGGGATTAACAAATTCTATTGGCTGGTCAATTTTAGGTAATACGGGATTTGAATCCAGAACAAATCCAGAAGTCACTTTAAGTGAATCTTTATCTAATCCATCAGTTGATAAAGTTATTTTATGATCAAGTGTATCTAATTTATTTTTTGCGTTGATCCAATCGCTCACCAAGTATGCCTCAATATTTTCACCTTTGGCTGCTTTAACTATGAAGGGATTTTTAAACATTAATTAAATTAATTAAAATAAAAATTAGAAGTATGTTTGTTGCATAATTTAGAAATTATACATTACCAGTTAACTTATAAACATTATAAGTTTTGACAAATACATTGGTAAGTTCTTTGTACAAGCGCCACATTTGCGAAAATTTAGCCTTGTCAACAGTTTTCCAATCTTCAATAAATTCAACATACTTATTTAGTATTTTTTCGGCACTAGCAACAAATGAATTAATAGTTAGCGATTCTTTATTGTATAGGTTTTTTTTGATTCCGAATTAATTGTAATACTGAATGATGGTTTAGGTGCGAATATTAAATCACGTATGCAAAATTTAATTGCTTTTCCACTATCGGCTAATTTGACGGGTTCAGGCGCCAGAAAATTAACAGGCTTATTGTCGACATCAAGATATGTTACAGATAATAGATGATCTGTATCTTTATTTTTAACCGTGTATGTAATAGTTAAACAAACGTCGATGTTATTAACTTGAACGTTGTTAAATTCGTAAGTGAGCGCATTTGCTGTTTTTTCAGGCCAATATTCTTTTGTATCCGGGTCTAATTTCCAGTCCTTTGGTGTTTTTGGACCTCCAATCGGGTTACATGTTTTACTAATAAAATATAAATATTATTAACTGTTAAATTATAATTATAATAAAACTTACGTTTTATCATCCCATATAATTTTATCCTCCTTATTGCAAATACACGCATAGCTGTTTAATTTAGGTTCATAACAATCTAGGTAGTCCAATTTATTTTGACAATAATCTTGTCCTGGTGCCTAAAATATTAATAATAAATTATAATAATTTTTAATGTTAATTACTGTTAATTATAATACTTTGTCAAAACAATAATGTAGATCTGCGCAGCGTTCCCCATAATATCCAGGTTTACATTTACATGTATTTGGTATATGTTTTGTAGGATCGCTGGCACTAGTATCTGTTCCTACTTTACTACATTTTAATGCTCGTAAAGTAGCTGGATACACAGGGTCACCAAAATTCAACAATGCCAAATCAAATTCAACAGTGTCCGTTTTAGCAAAATTTTCCGGTTTAAAGTAATCAACAAAAAACATGAGTCTTATATAGTTTGCTTCGTCAATTTTGTCAAAATTAAATGAGTAAACTCGACTTGTTTGTTTATCATCCGGGGTGATTTTCAGTGTATTGACATCAAAACATTGAGATAAATCGGTGCATATTTTTGGTCTAATTGTAAATGAGTTGAATATCTTTTCCTTTTTTACTGTAACATTATATTCAGAAACACCATTTGGCCAATTCACGTGGTTTTGTACCCAGGGTCCAAATAAATATGCACTTGTTGCTGTTTCGTTGATATCGCTACCTATATATATATATATAATATTATATTAATATATATTTATAAGTAATGTTTTCAAATGATATTATTTTATTTTTTCAAACATACCTTTAAAATTTACTTTATCACCAGTAAGAACAAATTCGCTTGTTGAACTTTTAATTTTCCAATCATCGTTAAATTTTGGTATAAAATTCTTAGCTGAAAATGTCCATGCACTAGATTTGGCTGTTGTTTGTTGAATGCTTAAGGTCAAATCATCGTCATTAACAACGTTGGCAACAAATGTAATTCTTAAATTACTTGCGCTAAATGCAATCAAATCTCTTAAACAAACTGTACGTTTCTCTAAACTCTTATTAGCTTGATTAACTTTCGGCAAAATTGTGTGCATTTTATTTAGTTCCGGTTTAAAATATGTTTTATCAATATTATAATGAATTGACAAAGATGATTCCTTGGTAGCCAGATATTGGACATCGAAACAGACATCATTATTTTGTAATTCGTCTACTGTAATATAATATACTGGTGATTTATCATCAGCCTGTTTAAAGCCTTCTGACAAGCAAGCTTTAATATTAAACTCTTTGCCTTTTTTAATTAAACAATCTGTGGTAATATCGTTAGTTAATGAGTGTATTTCATTGTTTGATAACTCATTTGTAAGCAGATATATTTTATTGCTATTATTTCCAAAAGTATTTACGGTAGTTTTGTCCTCGTATAGATATTCAACTATTTAAATATTGAATAAGTAATAAAATTCATTAATAATTTCGTAAAATAATTTCAATAATATTCAATAAAAATTAATATATTAATACAGGGTAGCCTTTTATTAACGATACCATTTTGATTCTCGTTTATTTGAACACCCTGTATTATTTTTAATTGATTCCCTCACCAAATTATAGAGGAATAGTTAGGGTTTTGTTTGATATATAACATGCCCAGAATATTCTTGTGNATTCTCGTTTATTTGAACACCCTGTATTATTTTTAATTGATTCCTTCACCAAATTATAGAGGAATAGTTAGGATTTTGTTTGATATATAACATGCCCAGAATATTCTTGTGTGTGATTTTTAAAATGATATTTTTCACAAAAGTGCTAAACATTTGGTGTTTTCATTAAAACTCGAGTATAACTGACATGTACGATTTTAAATATTAATGAAATTCAATTAATAACTTAATGTTAAGAAGTTTAGATAGAAATTTAAAAATAATATTTTCTAAATCTTACTTTATTTTAAGATTATTGATATCAATAATTTCATAATTTGATTTTCAATGTCAAAATTATACTAAGTTAACATTATAATTAAATTTTTTCAATTAAAATATTAATTTACAATTTTAGTAAAATAAAGATAATTGCTTAAAATTAAGTTGAAAAATTTTTACAAAATTTTCACATTTGATCTGAAACTAAATTTTTTATGAACATTTTTAAAGAATTGTCTACTATAAATTAAATTAAAGAATATTCTGGGCATGTTATATATCAAACAAAATCCTAACTATTCCTCTATAATTTGGTGAATATGTTATATATCAAACAAAACCCTAACTATTCCTCTATAATTTGGTGAAAGAATCAATTAAAAATAATACAGGGTGTTCAAATAAACGAGAATCAAAATGGTATCATTAATAAAAGGCTACCCTGTATCTTAATACACAGTATTCATAAGAAGGGGATTTGATTTTGTGAACACAAGCTGTAAAATAATCTTTACTTGGGATACAGGCAAACATCATTTGTTAAAATACAGCAATAATTAAAATAGAATGTTAAATTATAATCTATTATATTTTACTAAATTTAAAATGAAAATAACTTGTATAAATTAGATTAATTATATTTCTGGTTCAACTTTATTTCTGTTTTAATTATCGTTATATTAACTTACGAGGTATGCCTGTACCTTGAGTAAAGACTATTTTACAACTTGTGCTCACAAAATCAAATCACTTTCTAATGAATACTGTCTCACATAATATTGTAAATTCAAAGAAAATATTAATTATTAAAAATAAAAATTGAATTAAAACATTACGTTTAATATCCTTTAATGCAATTAAGGAATCTTTCCATAATGCTGTATAGAAGTCATAGTGATTAAATTGATCCTGTGTCAAAATATATTCTCGGTAGAGCCAATACTTTTCAAAATTCTTGTTATACTCAGCAGATATATAATCTTGATAATAACCTTTTGTTACATCATCAAAATCAACAGTAACAATATTCCGTTCATATGACCAATACTTTATAATAAATAAATAAAAATTAATAATTAATGGAATATTTTATATCAATACCTTACCTTAAAACTTAATTTAACCGGGAATCGTACAGGTTTTGTAGCATCTGAAAATAAATTATCTTTGAACTTTTTAAAGCCAGTATCACTAGATTTAATATAGAAAAAGTTTGTATGCTGAGCATTGATAGTGTCCTCACTATCCAAATATGGCCAATTGTTCGAGGTAATTTTTTGCCAACCATTATCAAACTTGTAGTCAACTAAGTACAGTACGTGGTAAATTTAGTAATTATATATTGAATTTATTTTTAACATAAATTTATATTTTATATAATACCTTCTGAGGGCTCTGGCGATAAAGTCGTTGGTGGGGTAGGAGGACTGGTAGGTGAACCTGTATAGGGCGCTGGTGTGGGTGTAGTGGTTGGGTGATCACTGAAGTCTTCAGGGTGCATTTGAAACAAATCCCGATATTGATAATTACTACAATGAACGTGAAGTAGGTTTTTATAAGCATTCGGGTATTTGCTATCATATATCCATGCGATAGATGTGTCCTTTTCCCATGAACATGTAATTGTGTCATGGTCAAAATCAATCTTAATTATTGAGTCCTTTTTTGCATAATTTCCAAATGGATCCACAGACAACTTGTCAATACTATTGTAATTAAGATATAGTGTAAGGCCTTGAGGTTTAGTGTTAAAAACGTTTGAAAGTCCGGATTTTTTAACATGGGAAGGCGTTAATTGATTATACCCTAAATATACCGTTAATGGACTATTTGTGGCAAACTTTAAAGCATCTGTATCAATATTTTTAATTGTACAGTTTTCTAAATTGATCGAGGTTAACTTTGGATTGTTAAGAAGATTTGTATTAATTGTAGGAAATTTATTTCCTTTTAATATTAAATTCTGTAAATTTATCAACGCTTTAACATCAGGAATTGCATCTAGATCGCTATTAATTATTTCAAATGTGGTTATTTTGTCAATTTTCTTAACATCTTCAAGGATTTTAAGTATATCATCAGGATTGATTTTAATTTTAGGATCTAATTTGTGTACATTATCCAAATGAATAGATGCTAGTTGATCGACAATATTTGGGGAAAATATTTTTGTAAAATCATCAAAGTTTGAATTTTTAATCAATATAGATTTAGTTTTGATTTTATCGAATCCAATTTTTGCATTTTTATCTGGTTCCTCTATTACAACTGTATCGAATATATAACTATCTTTTTCAACTGATGTTGGAAAATAAACGCTACCAGGGCCACAATATAATTTTGCTAGATTGGGCACACATATGCAATCGCCCAGGTCATCAGGAGTCGGACAATCAAACGCATTAGCCGTTAGGCTATATGCCCATGCCACATGCACCAATAAAATTAGTACTAAATAAATAAATAAATAAATAATATTTTTAAATAAATTAATTTTTAAAAATTTAGAATTTTAAAAACTCGAATTAGAAATTTAAATTTTAATCACTTTATATGTATGATTTGTAGTGTAAATTAATATATTGTATAATTAATTTTAATATATTAATATGAGTCATGATAAACTGCGAGTAGTTATAAACCAACTATTTCTTTCTTTAATTAAATATATTATATGTGAACCAATTTTAACAAAATGTATACCAAAATGTTCAGGTATAATAAAGTTTTATATCTGAATTAGAAAATAACCATAAGTTATCTAATTTAATCATAAATTACAAGTAAACTATGAACACGCGTTTTGAATGAATACCAAAAACGTCTTGACCATCAAAAGCTTTAAATCCGAATAAGGCCTCAAATAACTAACTGACTAATAGACATATTTTTAATTAAATTAGTGGAATAGAAGATCTTAACCTAAGTAGGGAACATCGAGGCACGAATCTCGATTAAGTGGTTCTAATTGTTATGATTAGTTAGCCAGTAACACAATTAACATTTTGAATTTACTAAACTTGGCGAATCAAGTAAACTAGTTTGCTAAATTCACGTTTAACTATCG